ATAGGATTATCAATCGGTTTTCTTTATACTAAACTAAGATTAACATTATTTCATTTCAGACATTACGCAACTCGTTCTATGTAGTTTTCTCGTTAATACGAGATCTAGTCACATATTATGAATCGATACAGTCAAAAGTAAGTGTGCATATTTGACTTTGAATGGAGTTGCTAGTCATTTTTGTTTTTCACGGTTTTTTAAACTGTTTTCTGTGTTTTTGTGCAGTTGCTGTTTTCTTTATTATTCGATTACAGATGAATAATATCATTGAAGCTCGCAAGCGCTTAAGACAGAAGCAAAAAGATCTAGTTGTAAGAAACATGAATGATGATGTAAAGTTTTTCGAGCAAGAAGAAGAACGGATTCGTATAGATGAATTGCGTAATGATGTTGAAGAGCATCATCGTCCGAGAGTGAAAGTTCTCAATGAACAGTTCATAGTTAGTCGTTCTTCAAACATAGTGTGATAAGTTTCATGAATCAATCTGTGAGCAGAAGCATTTTTACATTTTTTTTGTGATAATGAAATCATATGCAGCTATCTATATAGATAGATGCATATGATTTCTTACAACTAGATCTTTTTGCTTCTGAAAATTCGGAGTAATTCATCCCATATTTCAGATTCTCATACAAGACATACTAAAAGTTTTAACATCTTCACAGCAGCAACATTTCGCCGAACTTGCGCTTCAACTTGATTTTACTAATTTCTATCAGCCTCTTTGATTATAGCTAATTTTCTGCTAGATCAGAAATTGACGATTTTGCAAGATGACTATTGAAACGCTTGATAAAATATCTATAATCAAAGACTTTTTTATCACGAGGTTTATAATATTGTTGAGTATTTTATTCTGTGCATTCAGGAATACATATGCATATTTTTTTATCAGCAATATTAATTAATGACACACATTGAATGAAGCTATTCATATTTTAAAATTCATATCATTTTTAAAAAACTGGAGAAGAAAGTAACCACGCATTTGAAATCCGTCTGTCATTAACTTACGACCATTCCATTTCCTTTTGCATTTCAGTACCATGAGTATGTTGCATCTGCTCTATGGTATGGAAACTCTCTTCCTTATCTGATATATTGAATTCCAACTTGCACTTTCTTATATCTGCACAAGTCACCTTGCATTTTTATTGCAACGAAATTACTTGTCAACCTAAAAATATGTAATGATAGTAGTAGAGTAATTTTGATCGCAACTGTTCACTACACAAACATTTCATTGTTTTGGTTGTTCTTTAATGATTTTTGTTGATTTTTATTTGAAATAAAGCATTTAGAATGATGTACAAGTACTGTCAATCTTCCATAATATTGTCTGAGTTCTGTAGGTAGTCTTTT